AAATATTTGTATCCTTTTTTATTTGAGAAATAATCAACAAACACACATTTAAGAGCCTTTGGATCAAGTTTCCCCCTGACGTGAGTGTGAATGTGAACATAAGCGGTGCAACCAAATATTTTCAATAGGATAGTGTTTAAAATATGAGATTTCGAAAATACTTGAAAGAGAACTTTATAAGAAGTTTTGAAATTTAGTATCCGAGTGGGCATTTGATTGATCAAGTAGGTAAACAGTAAGAACGGTTTCACCCCGCAAAAATTTAGGAACATGAGTTGTAAACATCAATGATTTGACAACTTCAAAAATGTGTCTATTTTTTTTTTCGATTATGTCATTTTGTTGTGGGGTGCATACACAAGCGTTTTGATGGAGGATACCTTGATTATTAAGATGTTCTCCTAGGGAAGATTTCAAAGTATTCACATGCATTATCAGTTTTTAGTACTTATATTGTAATGTGAAACTAGTTTTGAATCATAGTATTAAATCTCTAAAATATTTGGCTCACTTCAGACTTTTCTCTCATAAGAAAGACTCAGGTAATTTTAGTATGGTCATCAATAAATGATACAAACTATTTTTTTCCAATAATAGTTTTGACTAAAACTCGACCCCGCACTTCATCCAGGCTTTTCTTGAGTCCCATGAGAAATCGAAAGATTTTTTTCTGCTCCACATTTTCTCTATATTTCTTAGCATCTTCTGGGCAGCTCCATTGATGATCTTCGAAGATGTCGAGCTGCTGTCAGTTGCGGGTGAGAGAGTTATAATATTGAATAATGTTCAGTTCACTTTGCCGCAGCTCATGGATGGTGGATTCGACTTCGAAAATTACTAAGATATTTTCGAGACTAGAGTAAAACTCACGAGCAGCTTCCCAGACTTCGTGAGTTGTCTCATATAAGAGGAAATTTTCACTGATTTTGGGAGGCATGGAACTTAGTAACCAGGACATTACCATGTTGCTGTTGATTTTCAAAGTCCGAGCATATGGGTTATTCGATGGATGTTCTGGAGCTTCTCTCTTGAGATATTCATCGCGTCATTTCTCTTGGATGAATAGCCGCACAGACGTCGACCATTGTAAGTAATTATCACCATTGAGTCGATGGTTGGTGATGAACGATGAATATTGCTCCACCATTC